AATTTCGCAATATCAAAGAAGTTGGCCCACGAGGCAATGATTCAAAATACTCCACCATATCAATCTTTCACTCCCAACGAAATCGATTCCTACCTAAGCCTCATCAAGTTTACAAGTACGACCTAGTATATCCTCATTCCAATGACCACACCTCTTTTCGACTTTCTCTGGCCTTAGCTGGTCGCCAAATACACGCCCATGCCGATATTTACACCCGACGGAGGAAGCAAAGCGTGGCGCACAAATCTGGGAGGCAGTTCTATGGGATGGACGTTAGAGGGACCAGGACAAGTTTACAAGATGATGCAGAGGATTGGATACAGTCTCGACGGGAGTGGAATTTTGAGTTTTGGAAAGGAGTTTTTACAAATTGAGCTTTGTGCGTGCCAAGACTTCGCTTGTGAGAGTGCAGCTGACACTATAAAAACAAGCCAACGATGGAAGGTGACGTGGTCCACCTCCTGGTGGTGTTCTCTGGTATAGTTTGAGTGGCCTGGGCACCTACTCCACTTGGAAAAGAGACATCTCAGATTACATTTCGCGCGGAGAAAAGTTGATGGATGACGGAGGCATGTCTGGATAACTCAGGGTTCTTGAGACGTTCCCCTGGGTGAGTATTCACGGATGAGGGTTGACTTGGGGGGAAGAAAAAGCCGCCATAACTTCGCAGTGGTACTTGCAAATGAAATCCGAGGCATGAGTGCTCTTCCTTTACGTTGAATCATCTCTTCTGTACTTTTCTTTGATATTGTGTCATAGCTAGATAGCTGCATACGCAATTAAAATCTGATGCAAAAAAAAAAAGGTTGGATGGTGCGGTGGTACATCGTCTTGGCCGGTCTGCCAAGTAGAGTCTGGATAGCTTGGACACATATCCCACTTGTGACAGTAGATTGCTGGTTCAAATCCAGCAAAACACAACCACATTTCTCGCGGCGCTGGTATACATGGATGACGAAGGCGTGCTTGGATAACCAAAGGTTTTGAGTCGTCCCTTTGGTGGGTACTAACGGAGGAGTGTCAACTCTTTGCGTAAGCAAGCATATCTCAGTGGTATTTGCGAATGAAATCCAGAGTATGAGTGTCTCCAAGGTCAAAAAAGTCATCCAACATGTACACATAGCACCGGTCATGTGTCATAGCTAGATAGCTGAATACAAATTAAATGATTAGAAAAAGAAGTATGCTGTGGCCTTAAGCCACACGCGATGCCCTAGCCATGGGGAGCTGAGTTATGGATTTGCTGTCTCTGAAACACCTCAAGGAAGCCCTGTCTGTTGTGGTTATGAGCTATGCGGAAGTCACATTGCGGAGTGATGAGGAGTGGATGATGTTACAATTTGTGGTTGACAGTGAGTAGCCTCATACAATACTATGCTGTAGGTATATGGACAGAAAGTATAAGACTAAACCTGTGTCCATTTATTGTGGGTACATCTATGAAACTATATACATGCTCGCCTAACCAGTACACTAGTGATGTATACTGTGGCCTTGAGCCACGCGCGATGCCCTAGCCTCGACTACCTCGTTGTCTCATATCATAACACTGTCCCACCTATACTACTTCTTCTTTCGATAAGGTTTCTACACGCCAATCATCACACTGATAACACAAGAGGACGAAGGCTGAACATCTGTCAGTGGTGTCCTCTACGAACCTGGGAGTGAAATATTTTCCCAGAGTCGAGATTCAGTTACGACAAAGGGTGGGATTAATTTTTTTATGGATTTTCGCCTTGAAGGAGTTGCACTCGATATTTTGGTCGAAAAATCAATCGGCAGAAATTTCACAGCCGGAACAAAGTTGAACAAAAACTCATCACCACTAACATACGATTCACGAATGGATTTAGATCTGTCTGGGAGTCGTATTCAAACATCCGACATCTCTCAAACTCCTTTTATACTTGCGACGAAGCATTTCTCAGTCGATCCTACACCTGCGACCCACTTCCATACTCGTCACATCACCTAACTACACACGTCCTAATGAGGAAAGTCATGATCGAAATAGGACGTGTGAAAAGGAGGAATAAAAGGGAAGATACACCGAGGGAATTAAACAAATCCCCAATGACGAAAGCAACCCGACGGTACGATGTGAAGGTGCAAGGCTAGAGCAACGATGAGACCTTTGACGGCATTTATATTTCGGAGTCAATGAGGATGTCAAGGGCTCGGGCGCATGGTGGCCGAGGCTGAGGAGGAATTTGCGCTTCGGCGCGCCAAAAGGGGGTTCTATGGACGGTTGGGCTTGACATGATTCAACACATGGGTGAAGTCTGAGGTGGTCCGGTCATTTAGGTGGGACGAGGTAGATGTACTTAATGGTAGTTAACTTGATCCGGCCCAAACCCACTCGTGCTTAAGCTCTAGTAGGAGTGCAACGGTAGTCATGTAACCTAGCACGTTAATGAACAAAACAAAACAAAACACTAACAACACACTCCAACTCTCATATACTGATGATCTGTTCATTTCTTGTGCTTCAACCTCGGCCAGCAAGAATACAAGGGAGCTAGAAGTCCAACTCAACACCATCTTTTCAACAGCCAAGTGATCTCAGTTACTTTTTGAGAAGAAAAAATCGGAACTTATACACTTCTGTAACAAGCGCTTCCCAATCCTGACACCCCTGAAAGTAGATTAGATATCACTACATTCGAAGGAGGTAGTCAGATAGCTTGGTATTTGGTGTGATCGGAAATTAACCTTCAAAATCCATGTGGACAAGCGAATTCCATTGGCCAATGAAACTCTTCAGATGATCATAAAGCTAGATTCTCCATCCAAATCACTCAAATTAAATGCTTTACGGCAGCTGTATCTATCCTGTGTCACATCTGTGCTAGACTACGGCTCTGTGATGTGGTCTAGAAGATATGATAAACAACAACTCACCAACAAATACGAAAAGCTCCAAAATAGAGCTGTCAGGTACATTACTAGTGCATGTCCATGTAGCCCTGCACAAGCTCTGCAAGTGGAAGCAGCCATATTACCAACACCAGTGAGGCATTTGAAGCTAGAGAATTAAAACACACTGAGAATACATGGGATCCAAACTAACCATCCAATACTAGAAGTACTAACTCAGGCCTTGCAGGATGAATTGGACATCAATCTTCTTCAAAAAATTGTTAATACTGGAATGTTTAGATTTTTTGATCAGTGTCCATCTAGGCTTTTCCAACTGGCAAGACTACCGAAACAACTGGGCAAAATTGGCAATATGGATAAGTCTAGATAAAGCTGGGTCCCACCTTGGCTTGCCAACAGTATCAAAAAAACCATATCTCCACAGCCCAAGGATGTGGCTCGAACAGAGCATGTGAATCTTTTGGCCAATTTATCTCTTGAGACCTATCTAGTATACACAGATAAATCTCTTTCTCCAGGGGCAAGCAGCAGCATTGGCTTTATTGTCTATCTCCTTGTTACAAGATAGATCAAATGCCACTCCTTCAACCTTGGCAACAGAATGGGCACCACTAATACAGAAACATATTTTATCATGAAGGCTATCCAAACTGTCAAGAAACTCAATATTTCTGAAGATATCTTCATCTTCTCTGACAGCCAAGCTTCGCTGTCTCGGATCCAGAATAAACCAACTAAAATCTGTCATCAAATACGAGGTTCTGCAAAAAAACTAAGCCTAAATTTTCATTGGTGCCCTGGACATATGGGTGTAGAGGGAAATGAAATGGTAGATAAACTAGCCAAAGTTGGGGAAAAAATACCTGCTATGAGGAAAGACAAATATACCAAATTATTATTATTGTTAAGAGAAAAAATGAGGCAACAGGTTGTCATCTATTGGAAACAAAGATGGATATCAGAGCTGTTCAGAGAAGAAGAGGGCAGAAAGGCCCAAGGACTTGGAAAATACTACAGGATCTTTGCACTAAAGAATACTCCAGACTTCAAGCTCAAATCCTACAATTACAACAAATACAGCAGAAGGAATCAGGTTGAATACTTTCAGGCTAGGACTGGTATTGGGAATACTCTGGCTTATCTCAAAAAATTTGGAAAATTAGAAAGTGATTGATGTGACTACTGTGAGGAAGGAAGACAGACAGTTCCACATCTAATCCTTCATTGTAAAAAATTCAAGGTTGAAAGGAGAAAACATTTTGCAGGAATAACACCACTTAGACTATCACTTATTTCTGGAACACATATCGGGAAAATAGCATTACTTTGCTTTCTGGATTCAACTAAATGCCTTAGGGTATGCAGAAGATGAAATGGAGTAAAATAAAAATTACTTGAGGAAAAAACATGGAGAAACTTTCTAGATATATCTTGTGTATTAGAACCGTGTCATAGCCATATAGTTAAATACACTTGAATTTTAAAAAAAGATGCCCTAGCCTCGACTACCTCGTTGTCTCATATCAAAACTGTATCTCGTGTCTACTAACTACAACGGATCTTGCGTATAGCTTGAGACAAATACGTGAGTTCCATATCCTCCAAATGAAGAATATCTAGAGCCTAAATATATCAATACTCTGTTACCCCTCAGCTCCGGTGAGATCTGCTCCTGTGACTGTACGATTTGATCGTGTGAGATCATAAGGCATTAGCAGTTTGTCTATGTGCGTACATTCAAAATCTGATCAGACCGTGACTATGTAGATCTTTTCAGGATCCACATCTATTCTGCACTTTATCTCTGATAATGTGTAATAACTAGTTAGTTGCATACACAATTAAAACATTAGGCATACAAAGAATTTCATCAAAAGTAGTGGGGGATGGTCGACATCGCTTGATTTGTGAGCCAGGAACATGTGCCATTAGACCACTAGACCAAAAGCTTCAAAACTTTACCATCAGCAAGGCCGCGCGTAACAAATTACTTTCCTGACGCGAATATATGAGCCAAGCCACTTAGTAATCCAAATTTAGGACACTAAGAGAGAAAAAGTAGTGGTGCGGAAAATTAATGCCCTACATGGTCCTGGATGCTCCCTTGATACCACGCCATGATCCCGAAAGATAACCAAATGGGAGGTAAAAGCCCTAAACCGTTAAAAAAGACATCACCCACCAAAGCAAAAATAGATTTCCCGCAAGACCCCATGGAGTGTGACTTGGAGAGCTCCCCCAGTACATTGAAGGATAAGGAGGAGGAAGACTTGGAAAGACTCGTTTTTGGAAGTGAGGCTCTATTCGGAGGTACATCGAAACGAGAATTGTGTCTGAAGGGGGATAAACTAGTTGAAGATGATGAGGACGATGATGATCAGGTTGAAGGGCTTGAACTTCTTGACGACGCCCAGGTATGAATTACAGTCAACTATGGGCTTCATTCCCCAAGTAACGTATCACTCATAGTTATTTTTCCTGGACTCCGGCCCAGCATTAGACTCAAAGCTAAAGTCAAGCTGCACGGCTGATACTGAAGATGATAATGCGCCTCCTTGGGAAGATAGTGACGATGAGCGCATGATTATTTCTCTTGCCAGGCACTCAAAACTGCGTAAGCTGCGCTTCAACGAAGAGGAAGATACAGTCACCGGCACGGAATATATGATACGGCTACGAAAACAACATGAAATCTTGAACCCAACCCCCCCATGGGCCCAGGGAGCATTCAAACCCGCTAAACGCCCGCATAGACGTTCAGCAGCTTCAGATACGTCCATGACGCAGAGTGATGATGATGATGATGATGATGATGATCTAGAATTGTCTTCCCAGCCGCTTGCCAAGTATCTACAGCAGGCTGGATCTTTCAACAAAGCAACAACGACTATAGTTAAACAAACTAAGCTACGTCCAGAAGTACTGGATATTCAGCAGACTCGGCCCATTCCCTTGACACAACCATCGGCTGTCTCTTCATTGTCATTTCATCCCGAACATCCAATCCTACTCTCCTCTGGTCTCGCATCCACTCTATACTTGCACGAGATTGATCCGACCGCACATCCAACGCCCAACCCACTCATCACCTCGGTACACGTTAGAAATACACCACTTCATACCTCGCAGTTCCTCTACCCCGAAGGAGATAAGATTGTCTTTTCAGGACGACGGAGATACTTCCACATTTGGGATTTACAGACTGGAATGATTGAAAAAGTCACCAGGGTTTACGGGCAAAAAGATGAGCAAAAAAGTATGGAAGAAATTAGGTTGAGTCCATGTGGGCGCTACATGGCCCTACGCGGTACATCAAAGAAGGGTGGTGGCATAATAAATATTCTGGACGCTAAATCTACCCAATGGATTGTGTCTATGAGAATTGAGGGTGCACAGGGAGTAGCAGATTTTGCCTGGTGGAGGAATGGGGATGGGCTCACTGTTATAAGTAAGGCTGGCGAAGTTGCCGAATGGGCGATGGAAAGTCGAGCTTATGTTGCGCGTTGGGTAGACGAAGGCCACGCACCAACTGTCCTAACTCTCGGTGGTCATGGCGGTCCAAAATCGCTGGGTGGGGATAGATGGGTGGTGATTGGCTCGCAAAGTGGAATCATCAACATTTATGACCGATGCACTTTCGTTAGTCCCAAAAAGCCTAATGATATCATCGTCCCAGAATATCCAAAACCAAGGAAATCATTTGACCAGCTCACGCGCCCAGTCAGCCATCTATGCATCAGTCCCGACGGTCAGTTATTATCATTTAGCAGTCGCTGGAAAAAGGATGCTTTAAGGCTTGTGCATCTACCCAGCTGTACTGTCTATCGGAACTGGCCGACCAATCGTACACCACTGGGTAGAATCACTTCTGTAGCATTCGGAGCTAAGAGTGATCTACTGGCTGTTGGGAATGAAACCGGAAAGATTCACATGTGGGAGATACGAGCCTGATCAAAGTCTTGTGGATAATGTATAATTTACGAAGGGCGAATTGATTTTCAAAAAGTGATATCCAGCTATTGGGAAAGATCATTATTTTACACTACACTTTCATCTAATCAGATAAATGATAGAAAATGGGAAATTTTGTAAGTTTGCAACGGGCGTTCTGCTGGCGTATGTATTTGAAAAGCTCCGTGCTTTAATATGCTTTTGCATCGATAAATATCGCATTTGATATAGGTTGGAGTCTTGCGACAGATGCACACCTAGAATCCTAGGATTCACTATTGCCGTGTTCTATCCTCTCATCTGGCTTGGATTAGACTTCGATGCACCAGCAGACCGCAGAGGATCTACGTTGAAATTCGACCAAAGAAGTTGCTATAAAGATAGTGCGTTGAAGCTCTATTCTCCAAACGATAGGTGTGAAGATCACTGGAACTCTCACTAGTGGGGTTATCGTCAAGGTGGATACAAAAAACATGATCCTAACCCTCAGATATTCGGATATTTAGCTATCCTCAACCTCCTACGGCTAGACTTATCCATATCCTTGTTCATTATCTCATGCGGTTCCCTTTTAGGGATCCATGGGGATGGATGGCTAATACGTGCAGGGAAGAAATTTTCAGCAAAAATTATCGTCCTGCTGCACTAACACGCTCAAGCTTCGTATCAAATAAGGATATCTGTGATTTGATAGTTATTGATTATGGTCTTCTATTCCCTTGGTTTTAGAATGAAAGTCAAGGTTGGAATTCTGGCCAAGTATATCTAGAGCCGGATTGGATTGAAAAGTTTGGGCCACTCTCAAAATAATTCTTGCCGATGCTCATTAGATAGTCATAACCTCGAATGGCATCTTCTTTGCATCAAATTTTCTATCCAACTCACACTACTTCCCATCTACGCATAGGCTGATTGGTTTATTATCCAGTCCACTTCTTGCTCCCAACACGAAGTTTTTCCTTAGTACACGTATCTCATGACTCCGTCAAGATAACTCGTTGACGCAACGGTGCCGATCAAGACTCGTCATTGATTCCCTCGATCCAGCCATTTCTACCTCGCAATTCAGTCTTGAAAGTTTGAAGGAAATGGCAACATAGCCCTTGTAGCCAAATCTAGTGACATGAGTTCAGATGATGAAGATTGAGGGGATTTTCCCCATGGTCTACTACACATAATATGCTCTGGTGAGACGGTTGGTGAAGCGAGTAGTGTCTGTAGTCTACGCTGGCTATCGCAGACAGTCGTCGACTTCTAATCAGTCGTCACCGGAACATTCTTGTAGATTCGTGGATGCGCGTACCCGGCATATCTTTTTGGTGGAAGATTCGAGACCAAACCAGATACGATCGGGAATCACGTGGAAGGAGTGGCAAACTCCTAGCACTGCCGAACGACGCCGGGAAGGGCTACCAGAAAGAGTCGGGTTAGCGGGCCGTGTCATGCTTGGGAATGAGGGCCATAGACGGTGTGGGATGGAGTGCTTAAATACTAGGCTGATTCCCTAGGTAGCTCAGCAGTGGTTGGAATGTAAGCTAGCGTCTTCCGTGCAAATGCTCGATGCTGGGTAGACGTGATGTGTGGTTAGGATCGTGACACGCTTTCGAGTGACTAGTGATAATGTTTTCCTATCGCTGCGACATAGTCTTGATCGTAAGAGCGATGCCTACCGATGAATAAATCATGTCGCTCAGAATGGTGCGACTGCGAGGGGGCTGGAGTGGATTTGGAATATGGTGGTTGGCTGGACTGAAGTTTCGCCTGAGATCAACTGGAGGAGCTGAAGCTTTGACTTGTAGGTAATGGTAGCTGGGGGTATCAAGGGTGACCATAGATGGCCCGAGGGCATTGCTTATCACGGGAATTGGCCTCGACAGACCATGCTAAGCTCTACATACATGATTACTTCTGCCAGCTCATCATGATAGAGGCCTTGCAAACACATAAGTCGGTGCCAAGAACTAGGAAGCTCTCATAGCAACACGGGAAGAAAGGTGTAGTCGAATATTGAAGGAGAATCTTTGCCGTATCTCTGCATGCAAAAAACAATCCAGTTGTTTTCCCTTGGCCCATGAGGCAATGAAAGTCCGCCGAAGCTTGTGGGCAGGTGTTAGAAATTGTCAAGGATTTCTAGGAGGAAATATCTCAAAGAACAAGTGTACAAATTCGGACCAGAATTTATTGATAGTTGTATAGGATATGGAACTCTCTTCTCGGTATGAACTAATAATATATAATATGTGTTCCGTTAACTTAGTTTAACATAGACAAGTAAGTCTTGGAAAGATACCTGAAAGGATAGTGAGAGCCCTCAGAAGTATTCAAAGAAGATGCTTAAAGCTTGTTGCAGGTGCCTACGATTCTACTAGCAGCAGAAAGCTAGAGCGCGAATCGTCCATCCTCCCTATAGAGATATACCTGAAACAAAGAAGGGTCCAGCACGCCGGACTAGCAGCTAAACTTAACCATATGCAATTGAATCAATTCAATTGATCTTGATGATCATATCTTGAAATCTAAAGCTTCATACATATTAAGTCTAGATTTCCAACAGCAGAGCCTATCCACCAAACAGCCGTTTTAAGTAAGAGGACGCGAAGATTGAGTCGCGGTCCCAAACGTCGTTGGAAGTGGCCTGTTCGGACAAGCACTTATCCAGAGCTCTCAGCGAAGTTTGTTCTGGTTCAAGACGCTGAAGCCTAGTCCCTACGATATCGTCACATCTCTATGAGCAGTTCAACTTCCTGCCTCAGCATGTAATGAATTCGTTGGAGATACCTTGATGTGACGGTGCACAGGCTATGTTCTTCATTCAGTTAGGGCTGGGAAGATGGAACGTAGATTTGGGCGGCTAGCATGTTTGGAATTGCCCCCTAGTTCTAGGAATCTTGTTTTATACTTTTGTACCCATCGACAATCTGGACTTTGATGAATCTACTTGGTTTACTCTTCCTCATTAATTTGTAAGCTTTGCAACCCTCGACTTCGTCGAAACTAGCACAACCTCTAAAACTTAACAGCTTTGTAAATCCATCCACAAGTAGATTCATAACACGGAGCTCCTCACAGTAGCCTTTGCTCGGGCTGCTATAGCGAACTGCTTTGATCGTTTTATCAGATGGTGAATGGTTCATCCTTGACCACTGGAAAAGTCTGTGTAGGATGAGCTAGTCAGGCTCAGCATTATTTGGCGGTTTTACACTCGGACTTTCTAGTGGGTGACTATATCGACAGTAATTACGACTCAACTGCCCATAGTCTTGATTATCACTGGCATAACGGTTAGCCGGTTCGAAAATTGCTCAAACATGGCGTTGATTCCGCTCCCGTGAAAGTACTATCAGAATACCCGCCAGTCACTTGATTCGAGAAGGGTTTCCAGCGCTGGCGCCCTCTATCTTCCGCTTCTATGGCCAATACGTTTCCATCCTGGCCCGCTGAGTTTCATATGCCGCAATCGCATTGTAGTGGAGTTGTCGCGTGGCTAAAGCGATGGCGTTAGGCCGCAAATTTATCATGTCCCGTTCGACCTGCGACCGAGCGAACGTGTATGGACGTTTTATTACTTCAGTTAATGTGTGTGCAGCTGTAGAGCTGTAATATATGACCGGTATCTCAAACACACGTAGGATGATTTTCTAGACTTCCGACACTTGTGCTTTGGATTTAATTAGCAAACACCACTATGAGATATTTTTGTTTACATAGAGTAGTCATCCTTCGTCGGTAAGTGCTGACCAAAGGGAAGTTCCAAAACTTTTAGTTATCCAAGAATGCAAGTACTACGAAAAACATGATTCAGGCTTGCTGGATTCGAACTAGCAATCTCCTGCGTCAAGTGAGATATATGTCCAGGCTATCCAGAATCTACTTGGAAGGCCGGCCAAGATGGTGTACCACTGCACCATCCAGCCAGAGCGGTATTTATAGTGTCAGCTACTTTCTCGCAAACGAAGTCGTGTAGCGTACAAAACTCCTCAATTCGGAAAACTCCTTACGGAAATTTTAACTCTCAAACCCATCGATATTTGATCCATCGTCCGCATCATCTTGTAAACTTGTCCTAATTCCTCTCACGTTCATTCCAAAAGACTGTCTCCCAGATTGGCGCGCCACGCTTTGCTTCCTCCGGCGTGTATTTGATGGTCAGCTGAGGCCAGAGAAAGTGTATGCGAAGCGGCGTTGCAGAGTAGCTATAGGGCAAGTAAGTATTGGATGGTGCAGTGGTACACCATTCGGGCCGTTCTCCCAAGTAGATTCTGGGTAGCTTGAACTCCTACCCCATTTGAGACAGGTGAATGCTGGTTCGAATCCAGTAAAGCCCACGCATCACACTCTCTCGCGGTGATATTGTATTTGTGGGCTGATGAAAGCACACTCGGATAACCATAGGGTTTTCACGCTTTTCCCTGTGGTGGGTATGCACGGAAGAGGTTATACGCCGTAAGGGTTAACCTCGAGTAGTATCCGCAAACGAAATCTGAGTATGAGTGTTCTAAACGTCAAATTGAGTGATCCTACTTGAAGTACATATCTTCCGATAAAACCTGAATGGGCCTCAAGGCGCCAAAACAGGACAGGTTGAGTAACTTATTCATAGGGCAAATATCTGGATATTAGTTGCGTAGTATTAGCGCGGCGTTGACACTGCCGGAAATCTGCTTAGTCAGAGAGGCGTTTATGTGAAAAAATTTACACGCCTTCCTTGGTCATCCCAATCGTATCAAGTTTTCATTACACACGGTTTTTTATCGCTTCTATGAATCTGCTTCCTGAATATCCGGACATGAGTGTAATTCCAATTGTGATTCATGGGAGAGAAAGGAGATACAAATATGTATGGTTTGATCAATAACCCTGTTAGCTACTCTTTGTGCTAGCATATAACCTAGAATCGGTGATAAGCTGACAGAAAGACGATGAGGTATGGTCGTTAAAATGAGTATGTAGTGAGTCGTACTAGTGAAGTTTGGCGGGAACCAATCTCGCTGGGAGTGAAAGATTGGTGTGGCCGAAGAGGCTTGGTTCAGTGGCACGTGGGCCCACTCGTTTGGATTTGCGAAATTTGACTGAACTTGGCTCCGGGAGAATATTCCACCTCCGGATTAGTAGAGGACACCACGAACAGGTGTTGAGTATTGGTCTGCTCTTTTAGGGTCAACTACCCGTTTCACATTAGATTGGATTCAGGGTCTTCGCTTGGCACGTTGGAATGACAAACAATCCGTCAAACTCCTGGTTCTTTTTTTTTCTCAGCCCACGTACCACTTACACTACAAAGTCTGGTTGACTTCCTGTTCACCCACCACTGGTGATAGAAATGAAGATGGTCTAAATATGAAATTGCAGACCACGCGAAAATAATGTAACCAACAGTACAACTGCCGGGTCAGAGTGTAGAGGTAATTATTATCTTCTATAGTCTATTTTGCGTCTCAGCCAAAGTGCCAAGAGTGCAGCTGACACTGTAAACACAAGCAAACGATGGAAGGTGTTGTGATCCGCCTTCTGGTGATGTTCTCTGGTATAGTCTGAGTAGCCTGGGCACCTACTCCACTTGGGAAGGAGACATCTCAGATTACATTTCGCGCGGAGAAATATTGATGGATGATGGAGGCATGTCTGGATAACTCAGGGTTTTTGAGATGTTCCCCTGGGTGGGTATTCACGGATGAGGGTTGACTTGGGGTGAAGAAAAAGCTACCATAACTTCGCAGTGGTACTTGCAAATGAAATCCCAGGCATGAGTGCTCCTATTGTAAATTGAGTCATCTTTTCTGTACTTTTCTCTGATATTGTGTCATTGCTAGATAGCTGCATACGCAATTAAAATCCGATGTAAAAAATAAAATAAAAAGCCAAAGTGCCAAGGATGACTAAGGCTCAAGTGGTAGATCCTCTCCTATGCCTGCTTTAGAGCCCTGGAAATCTGCTTTAAGCTATGGGTGCGGGTGCGGGACTGTCCACGTACCGGCATCATGAATAGATGCCAGAACATTCTCCACCTTGCTAGACTCTGTTCCATTCCATCAATTGATAGCACCTGCCGAAATCTCCGAGGCTCTATTGGGATTCCCAGAAAGCTCTGATGGAGAATGTTATTACCAAAAAGTCTAGGCTAAATTCTTTGCGCTATTGTGGTCAGTGGGGGATGCTTTGGACCTTTCGTGACGAAAGGTGCGTTTGACAAGTATTTGTCACAATCTCGGCCCAATTGTCTAGAGTTAAGGCTGGAGGCTCGTAGGGAACATCCTTGATTGCTGTTGAGTCGTCAACCCATCTCTTCCATGGGAAAAGAGCGAGAGTACTTCGTAATCAGGGTATGAGGAGATGTGAAACGATAGCTTGGCTAGGAGTCGCAGAGTAGATTGGAGAATGATTGTCAAAACCTGGTGGCATGAATATCTTCGCTTATCTGTATCCGTGTCGCGGTGGTAGATCGGATCTCCATGTTTAGTACCCAGCACATCCAGCACACCCTTCATCACCCTCTACCCGGAACGTTTACATTCCAAATTTTATTCCTTAATTTTCCGTTCTATTCCCATCCACTATATACCTGATTAAGATTAGTTCATATTTACGTCTGAGCCTGACATTGGCCAACAAGACAAAGAATAATGTGGCTTATCGTGTGAAGATAAAAGGCGACGATGCGTTAATTAGCAGATCCAACAAGCGTGAATGTCGTGGGGAGCAACATGAGTCAAGTGCGTGATACCTAAACTCACTTGTCCAAAGAATATCGAAAAACTTAAGACCTGTCAGCGTTGTGCCCTGCGAACCTCAAGCTCTCACTGAAGAGTCCACAGACTCGAGATTGAATAACACTGACCTCGCTTGAATGAGGATCCCAATCGCTTTTGCGGTCTGTATCGTCTTCATCTCTCAACACATTCCCCTATCACCATTATCATGGAGCTCACTACGAGGAGATCATATGCTGGGCTCGGAGCCCTATTCAGCGTTCACTCACTTTTCTTGGTAACGGAGAAGCCATAGGATGAATATGCGAAGCATATTCAGCTGCCGATGCGCCGGCAGTAGACTAGATCAAGATATCCTCTATTGTTACAAGAAATTGAAATGTAGATGTATTTGCGCACCTGTCAAGCGGAATTGGATTAAAATGGAGTTCTCGGAGAAGATTGAGTTCATTCTCACCCCTCCAAAGGGAATCTACCGAGGTATTAAGCACATCTTGAGAGTATTTTCATAATCACTACCAGAACCAAATACAGACTCACTTTTAAGATTATTCGTGTGAGCTTCTCAAACCTCCGCCCCATACATGATTCTAAGATTGGCTATGTTCGTTTCAGGAATAATAGAATTAATGCGGTTTTGATTTAATAGGGCCCGTTCAGGTCTATTTAGCTATTATATTTACAAAGGAGACCAATTCAGTAAAAACCCCCTAAATCTGACTGTGTCATTTCTACTGGTTTTCCCATAGGAAATGTAGTTACACCGTTCATCCAGTGTGAATTCTGTCCTACCCTTGTCCACATGGTTTCATCTTTGCGTCCACTGCTATCTCTACTTCCGCTGCGGGCCAGAACTGTTCAAACTAACCTTTAACCAAGGTCCATCTTGTAATTCTCTCCATATCATCTGGGCCGTTCATCATTGCCGCGAAGTGCCTCTCCTCTTCCCCTTGCTCACTGAGAAGATACCAAGACCATACGTTTGACGTTTTGAGACGGTTATCCACTCTGAAATTTTTGATTAATCAGTCCGGGGACTTTCCTTTGATATAGATAAGAGTTGAGATCGATATGTTCACTTCTTATCTGAACTGCAATACTACTATGAGCCCTGCTGAAGTTCCGGTGGATGATTGAGGCTATGTTACCATAGGCAATCCTTTTCTGCACGTTCTCTTCTCTGTGACGATATTCGCGGCTTTCTGTTGAATTAACATGGATTAATAATGGATTATGTGACTCGATTGTAATGACAAAATAAAAAATGCAACAAATAGAGGAGTCATGCATGGGCAAGTGAGCATCCATTTAATTGCTGGTTTTAGCCTATACATGACTCAGCTATAACCAGTGATGCTTTGATCTTGCATGTCAGTTGCATACAGATTAACAATGTTAGAGAATGTGATACTACATTTATATAGATTGTTCGACAGCACCATTTATGGCTGGGCTTGCAGGTTTCTAACAGCTTTTTCCCGCGCACGCTGCCTGCATTGTAACCATTTCATTTTTTTGGGTAGAGCGTTCCGTGGTCAAGGTCGCTGAATTCCACGGGTAATTATTGAGCCGAATGGCATTCCATTATGGACAGGATATCAGAGATCGTTCGAGTAACAGAAGATGATAGGAGCGCTGTACAGGGTGTAGCCTGGCTCATAGAGAAGCCCTATATGTTAGATATTCATTGATTCATGAAGCACAAATAATCAAACACAACTTACACAGCCGGGATCCGGACCAAACAGTATTTCTTCCAAATTTGATTTAAGTATTTGATTTATGTTTTTGATTTTAGTTTTGCTGTTAACTTCTACAATTCCAGTCGAAGTTCATGCGGTTGGAATGAGTTGGGCCTGTACGCAGTGATCCTTGCCGGCTCCACCGGTCCTTGACCCAATGTGGAAAAGATAGCGTTAGCTTAGGACCAAATGTAAAAACAAACAAAAAAAACAAACAACTTACACAGCCCGCACAGATAAAACATGTCCCCATATCCGGGCAGAGATATACTTACGGCCATAGCCAAATCAAATCACGACAGGTAACTCCAGTCTTCTGGGGATTAGCTAGTAATTCTAATCCCTCAGGCACAGACCAGTCATTCAGTTTCTTGTCATCGCAGGAGCCGAGCTAATTTAATCAAAATGACTAGTAAAATATCAATATATCGGAACTTAGCATAATCTCAGCACAGTGCTTGTTCTAAAGATAAGAAGTGGCTGATCGCACCTTGTTTCGACCAAAGTCTTTCTGTATAATATCACTTCAGATTGTCATTGAAAATAACACGACTTTTCATAAGTTCGGTCTTAGTCTCGTCGAAAGTCTCTTGCAATATCTATCTCCCAGCAGACTGTCCCTTCAACAATCACTTAAGTATACATCCTCACAACTTACAGCGAAATACCTATTTACAATTTCACGATGAAATGCATCTTAGCGATACCTATGTTCTTGGCAAATGCTAAAATATTCAAAAATCGTCTGGTCATTACTAGTGGAGACCTGTCAAATTCCTACAGCACCTACGGAATTCCAGAGAGAGAGAAGCTACCGGTTTTCCAAAGAGGATCTAAAATATATCAGACTATACCCCCTCATACCAATCAAGGCATGAAAGTAACGGTATATTGCTCATTCTCTCCCGAAATCAATATTGAGAGGGAGCTCACCAGAAAACTACAAAATCTATCAAAAATGGCACACATTGATTCATACGGCGTATTAATGGGGGAAACTGAATGCCTTAAACGAATAGAGTTACATACTTTTCGAAAATTTAAACCTAAGTCAGTGTCAGCTCTTGTCAACGAACCCCCATGCAGCTATAGTAAGATAATTAATCTGGCCCACCGAAATCAGATTGGGATGAAAGGGCCATATAGTAACTTGGCTCCAGCTGCAAGTAACAATGTTCGAGTGGTTAGAATGGATAAGCCAATTCCAGTGAGGGAGGTAATCCACGATGGACTATACCTAGTTGAGACAACCGCAACATATCAACTTGCACTTGCTTGGTATTTCGGATTTCTACACCTCTTCAGACGCAATTCATATTCTAATCAATGGTACCCGCTTACAAAAATCGGTCTGGAGCGAGAAAATGGAAAAACTCTCTACGCCATTATCATGAAAAACATTTTCCCGGGAATACTCAATATTAAGAAAAATATTCCGAGTCAGAAAGCTGAGTTGGGCCAAGGCCAAGATCTCATGTCAGGTTATGCGGAAACTGAAGGCAAAAGAATCACGGAGATGCCCTCGAAAAGCCTAGTCTGGTTGCATGCTAATGGTGAGCTTGGGATATATGGAACAACAAAGATGGGAAAGATAATTTAGGGGAGTTTGATTACTTAGTGTTAATGTTAGATAAATTGTCATAGCTAAATAGCTGAATACAAAATGAAATAAAAAAATAAAAAAAATAAAAAAAAGGTGAGCTTGGTAATACCAGAAATAAGAACCCAGAAGACTCAAAGCCAAAAATATCTTGATTATTTGTGAATTCCATTAAATTGGAGAGCCATAGGAAAAAAGTTGTATACCAATTCCGAAACGAGTGGAGAGATGTTGTGGACATTTTGTCAAGTGAATTGGCTATATCCCAGTGAATATAATTTTGGATCTTGAACCATACATCATTTTTCTGGCAAAGTATCCAGGCATGGACTACCAGGACGCTATTCACGTCGTACGGTAACCACCAAGTAAAATAAGCATCGAATCATTGAGTTCTTCTATCAAGAAAAAATGGACTTCGTTCGCTGATGAATTATTGCGTATACAAGAAGGTGACATGCGAAAAAATTGGTATATCAGTGAGCCCTAGTTCTGATGCGCTGGCTCGGTTGGGCTATTGGGAAACAGGGAAAAAGGACGGGCTGCTGTATTAGGAAAGGGTGGATAACACAGGCTGGTGCACAGACGCTGTTTATGTACATTACAATCTCTTCACCTGCCCAGTTTAGCAAGGTATCTATCCAATTATTATCATTCCCATTATCCATTAGATGATATTATCGATCGCTTGGATGCGCATCTGGCATCACCTTCATAGATCGCGATTTTTTTTTAAATTCATAGTGTATTCAGCTATATAGCTATGACACGCTTCTAACATACAAGATATATCTAGAAAGTTTCTCCATGTTTTTTTCCTCATGTTATTTTTATTTTACTCCATTTCATCTTCTACATGCCCTAAGGCATTTAGTTGAATCCAGAAAGCAAAGTAATGCTATTTTCCCAATGTGTGTTCCAAAGATAAATGATAGTCTAAGTGGTGTTATTCCTGCAAACCGTTTTCTCCTTTCAACCTTGAATTTTTTACAATGAAGGATTAGATGTGAAATTGTCTGTCTTCCTTCCTCACAGTAGTCACATCAATCACTTTCTAATTTTCCAAATTTTTTGAGATAAGCCAGAGTATTCCCAATACCAGTCCTAGCCTGAAAGTATTCAACCTGATTCCTTCTGCTGTATTTGTTGTAATTGTAGGATTTGAGCTTGAAGTCTGGAGTATTCTTTAGTGCAAAGATCCTGTAGTATTTTCCAAGTCCTTGGGCCTTTCTGCCCTCTTCTTCTCTGAACAGCTCTGATTGCCATCTTATAGATCGCGATTGTCAGTAAGAGTTCACATATGATACCTATTGACACCCGGTAAGCTAGCGTGAGCGCGTCATCTTCGCGACTCACCATTGCACGTGAGTCCGTGCCACTCCACCGAAGGATAGCAGAGTCTTTTTTTTTTTTTGCATCAGATTTTAATAGCGTATGCAGCTATCTAGCTATGACACAATATCAAAGAAAAGTACAGAAAAGATGACTCAATTTACAAGAGGAGCACTCATGCCTCGGATTTCATTTGCAAGTACCACTGCGAAGTTATGGCGGCTTTTTCTTCACCCCAAGTCAACCCTCATCCGTGAATACCCACCCAGGGGAACGTCTCAAAAACCCTGAGTTATCCAGGCATGCCTCCGTCATTCATCAACTTTTCTCCGCGCGAAATATGGTCTGAGATATCTCCTTCCCAAGTGGAGTAGGTGCCCAGGCTACTCAGACTATACCAGAGAACACCACCAGGAGGCGGACCACAACACCTTCCATCGTTTGCTTTTTTTTTTTTTTTTTTTTTTTTTTTGCATCAGATTTTAATTGCGTATGCAGCTATCTAGCTATGACACAATATCAAAGAAAAGTACAGAATAGATGATTCAACGTAAAGGAAGAGCACTCATGCCTCAGATTTCATTTGCAAGTACCACTGCGAGGTTATGGTGGCTTTTTCTTCACCCCAAGTCAACCCTCATCCGTGAATACCCACCCAGGGGAACCTCTCAAAAACCCTGAGTTATCCAGACATGCCTTCATCATCTTTCAACTATTCTCCGCGCGATATGTGATCTGAGGTGTCTCTTTCCCAAGTGGAGTAGGTGCCCAGGCTACTCAAACCATACCAGAGAACACCACCAGGAGGCGGACCACGACACCTTCCATCGTTGGCTTGTTTTTATAGTGTCAGCTGCACTCTCACAAGCGAAGTCTTAGCGCGCACAAAGCTCAATTCGTAAAACTGCTTGCCAAAATTTGGAATTTCACTCCCTCCAAGGTTATATCCTTCCTTTGCATCATCTTGTAAACTTGTCCTGATCCCTCTCACGTCCATCCCAAAGAACTGTCTCCCAGATTTGTGCGCCACGCTTTGCTTCCTCCGTCGGGTATAAATATCGGCGTGGGCGTGTATTTGGTGGTCAACTGAGACCAGAGAAGGTCGAAGAGAGATGTGGTCATTGGGATGAGGATGTACTAGGTCGTACTTGTAGACTTGATAAGACTTAGGTAGGCGTCAAACTCGTTGGGAGCGGAAAAACGACGTCGTGGAGTAATTTTAAATTTTGCCTCGTGGGCCAACTTCTTTGATTTCGCGAAATTTGACTGAACTTGGCTCTGGGAGAATATTTCACTCTCAGGTTCGTAGAGGACACCGCGTACAGGTGTTCAGTCTTTCCCTCCTCCATCGTTTGCTTGTGTTTATAGTGTCAGCTGCACTCTCGCAAGCGAAGTCTTGGCGCGCACAAAGCTCAATTCGTAAAACTCTTGCCAAAGTTCAAAATTCCACGCCCGTCAAAAACGTATCCCTCTTCTGCATCATCTTGTGAACTTGTCCTGATCCCTCTCACGTCCATCCCAAAGGAATTGTCTCCCAGATTTGTGCTCCACGCTTTGCTTCCTCCGTCGGGTACAAATATCGGCGTGGGCGTGTATTTGGTGACCGGCTGAGGCCAGAGAAAGTCGACGAGAGGTGTGGTCATTGAAACGAGGATGTACTAGGTCGTACTTGTAGACTTAATGAAGCTTAGTTGAGAATTGGACTCTTTGGGAGTGAAAGATTGACATGGTGGAGTAATTTGAATTTTTGCCTCGTGGGCCAACTTCTTTGATATTGCGAAATTTGACTGAACTTGGCTCTGGGAGAATATTTCACTCCCAGGTTCGTAGAGAGCACCACTGACAGGTGTTCAGTCTTGCCCTCCGGATAGCAGAGTCATATAATTCTCATACACCTCCCCTCTCATAATTACAACAAATTCCATGTGTGTTGGGTTATATAAAACTCATCATTCATGATTATTGTAGGTATCTACTCAGGTACAGTTTATCTGCATCTTAAATTTGCTGCGCAATTCATCTTTCAAAGTCATACAAATGAATTAAGCAACAAACTGCGATAAAACTCACATAAAGCTACGACGACGCAGGGGACATGACTCTACAGCCGTCAGATATGTCTCTATGAGCCTCCAGCCCTTACCCTAGGGTCTGCGGCGCCTAGATTGGGCTTCACTTTCGTCCTCGCTTCCATGAGGCTTCTCAATTATTCTCGCCCTCTGCATAGTCCTCATCTCTCAGCTAAACCCCCCTAGTATGATTATCATGAAGCTTTCCACGATTAGATCACATGGTGGGCTCGGTGCTCGACTTATTATTCTCTCTTTTCTTGGTCGTAGAGAAGTCATCTAAGATTCTGGGACATGCCCAGCTAGCGATACGGCGTTAGTGGACTAGATCAGGTTGGTCTCATTTGATACGAGGGGGTAAGATGTAGATAGACTTACGCCTCTCGTGCGGCTCGGGTGTCTAGGCCTCGCCTGGCTGGAGCCGCAGGTTTTTTGAGACTTTTTCCTGCGAACGCAATTTCCATTGCTACCATTTTTTGGGGTAGAAGGTTCAATGGATAAGGTGGCCGAAATCCATGGATAAAAACTGATCTAAATGGCTATTCATCAAGTGCAATATATCAATGATCTTTCAAGAAACATGAGAGGCAAGGAGCACTGCACAAGGTGTGGCCTGGGTAAGAGAGGAGCGCAATGTGCTAGATTGTCATAGACTCAAGTAGTACAATAAACACTCACTCACTCAATTACGAGCGACTATCAGCCATTTCGTACTGTCTGGGCCAGCAATTACACGACCAGCTCTTCTGTTGTGATTGGGAAGTATTAGCCAAGACAGCCACGTGATACTTATCACGCACGGACTTTTGTAAATGTCTGCTGCTCAGTACACTTAGTAAGGGTAAGACCTTTTAATATACAATTTTCTAAATACAATATCTTCCCTCACTGTAGCCGTCACGCACAACAAACGCGTAGGCTCAGAAAGTCAATGTCCCACACTGACCTTATCAAAAAGCTTCTCGGGCCCAAGTGCCACGATAGCTTCAAAATATTTGCGGAGGAAACCGGCTATTTTGATAGCCAACCTACCCACTCATCCACTGCTCTCAGCGGGGATCAGATAAACTAGTCATTGCCACAACGCATGACACGAAAGAGAACGAGGCGAGAAGTGTCGTTTCTCTGAGGAAATTTTTCTGTACTTAGATTTAGGGTTGAAGGATGGAGTTTCGATTTCGGAGTCGGATAAGGTGGTGTCTTCTGAGTTATAATTTATCTTCTACTTTTTCTGTAGCGAGTCTCGCGGTTGGAATGAGTTGGGCCTGTAAGCAGTGATCCCCGCCGGCTCCACCAGTCTTGTACCGATAGTGGACCTAGAGCTTTAGCTTAGGACTTTAGTATAAAAAACAAAAAAAAAACAACATCTTCCCGCTCGCCCAAGCAACCCTCTTCGGCCGAGGGCTCAAGAATTTAGGGCTTCAAAACCTCCGAAAATCCAGGCTCCAGCCGTAAAGACCACTTGGGCTACAGTAGCTCGATCAAGCCTAGACCGCAGTGTTGAGAAATCGACAACAGTGTTGGCAGTACCACCTGCCCCGAAAGCAAAAATTTTCAATCCGGGGACAAAATCTGATGCGCGACTCATTCTTCGCCTCGCACTTAATCATCCTCTTCATATCCTGTCACCGTCTGGTATACGACTAGCCATGTCGCAGGATATCGGTACTATTGCTAACCCTATCACGTTGATCCTGCGGGTCAAAATTGGCTAAGCACTTACAGTAAAGAACAAACTTGCTCGGAAAGAGCTCTTGGATTCCTCCGCATCACGGAGTGAATCTGGAATCAAATTGGAACAAGCGTCAAATCTGGTCGCCATGCAAATTACAATAGTCTCAGTGACAATTCGAATTCTTGCAGACCCCATCACTACGACGGCGCAGATGCTTATCTACGAAGTCACGCAAGTGACTAAATCAGTTCCTTATATTGCTCGTCGTCCCCACGGGACTTGTAAACCTAGGGCGCCTTACCAGAATTAGTATGGACTCTTACCTCGAGAATCCGCGCCTCGACCTAGAGTCCGACTTTTCGAAGACTCTGGAACTGCGAGGCTCTTTCGATCTCGCCGGCAAATCGATCAATTAAAACGCTGTCCTGGCTTCCATACCATCAGTGGTTGCTCCCGCGCTTCAGCCTGCTGGAACTGTGGATCAAAGGTGCACTTGGAAGCCGAGTGCGAGACTCTCGCACGATATCGCTTCTGTGGGGGACCGGTGGACAAAGAGCAGCACGCAGCGATTCGCGAGGTCAAAAAAATAGAAGAGGGTATTATCGCCTATGTAAAGGATATCTCTAGGCAGAGGGATCGAGCTTAGGAGTTCAAGAGTTTGAAGAAGAAGCATGAGAGTGCGGGTGCACTCACTGAACTCTAAGGCTTCAACAATATAGAGCATGTAACCGGCCGGCCATGCGAACTTATCTATCGCTCTGAACGCAGATCAGGAAAAGTCACTTGGAAGATGTGACGGGCAATGGAAGGGGCGAAAAGCACGGTATCCGAAAGAACAATGACATTCTCCGATTTTTGATTTACCTTGCGATTTTGTTTTGATAACTTCTACACTTTCTGTGGAAGTTCACGCGGATGGAGTGAGTTGGGCCTGTACGTAAAGATTCTCGCCGGTTCCACTGGTCCTGTGGTACAGGCCATAGCCTTGTATGTGGACCCGGAACTATCCGGCGCTGGCTACGAACAAAAGCGCGCTATTGTCACGGGAAAACGCACTCAATTGGAACAAAACATCTTGCGCGCGCGTGGTAGATATTCTCCTCATTCGATAAAATATAAATTCATTTTTGGACCCATAATTGTGAAAAACAAATGTGAAGTCCCTTCACATCCTGAGCCCAGAGTGGATTTGGAGCATTAGCTTAGGACCAAATCTAATCGAAGAAAACAATCTATGCTGCCTAACTGTTGGAAATCTAGACTTATTTGTATATGTTAAACTAAGTTAACGGAACATCATGTATTATTAAGTCATGTTGAAAACAGAGTTCGATATCCTCTACAACTGTTAATACATTCTTGTCCGAAATTGTACATTTGTTCTCCGAGATATTTCCTCCTAGAAATCCTTGACAATTTCCAACAAAACTACGAACCGGCCCCAGGGGCTAATACTAGAAACTAGGCGCCGGCGCGAAGGATAGTCTGGATAAGATATCGAGTGGGTAAATAGTTGAAGTAGGACACATACTGTCGGGATACTTAAACACGGTGCAAAGAACGTAAACTGTATGTCACGTTTCTGCGGTTGTGTTGGTGGATCTTGTCTATTCTCCTATTCTACAAAAAGATACTAATAATCATAATGGACGATGACTAATATATGACTAACATTGGAAAGTGAGGTCAGGACATTTATACCAACACACACAGAAAGTTTCAACCTACCTCTGGCCCGCATCCAAAGCGATGTGAAACTGACCAGAAAGTATGTATAGCCCTGCGGCCTAAGTGCGTCACAATCTCACGTGAGACAAGTTGAGCTCCAAACGTTTTATCTCACTTTCTCTCTGGAAAATATTCAGTAATTGTTTGTAGTCATGTAATCATCTACGAGTCGTAGTTCTGTAACTCTCTAAATTCATGTTATCTACGACTCGCAAGCTTGTACTAGTACTAGTCGCTCCTGATATTTGCAGCTTGCGATATTGGAGCTGATCAAGCTCCTACTTCATAGGATCACTTGACGCCTTAAGCTGGTGCAACAGTATGGGGAGATCATATGGTCTGTGCGTGGGTGATGGGATGAAGGATGGAAGGACTTGGATATAAAGAGACGAGGAATACATCATGAGAATCAATCACTTCTCTTCACTCAGAGTCAAGCTTCTTGGTCCCGATTTATCAACCGATAGCCATAGAGAGAATAAGCTACCTGCGTAGATCTGATCGCTCCAGTATCAACACTCGAGCCGTGATAGAGGCCAATTAGATCCAATCCACCATCGTCGTATCGGGTGCTGGGTACGCTCCGGATCCTCGTCCCATGGCTTCTCCTCCATGATTAAGAGTGGGTGATGAGAAGGTGTTCGGATTAGGTCCTGTTCAACGATGTGTAGCCTAATTGTGCTATATTGCAGGCTACTGTTACAATTATTCATGGGGTCATGATCAGGGTTGTGAGTAGTTTCGGTTTTGGTGTGGGTTTTTAGATTGATACCTAAGCGTGTCGCATAGTAGTCAGACATGCGACTCGAGTAGCATATGCACGGTAAACCTCAACCCCAAAATGATGATACGAATCAGGCTTTACATGCTACGTCCTGTATGGCTAGCGTGGTTGGAATATAGGGAATTTACCTGTAGATAGATAAAGACGTTGTAGCCCTCTGATGGTTGGGACAAGTCTTCTACAATATTATATCGGAATCAAACCTAGCCGCTCATTAAGCAATCTCATGAATTATTTCCAATGTCTGTGATAACAGACATACATATACAATATCGACAACAAGTTTTAATGTCGATAAGTTATGAGCCCGGAAACTGTCGACAACAACTTCAATGTCGATAAGAAGGACTTCGAGCCTACCATCTGATCTGATCGAGGTTAGCTTCGTGATTGTGGTGATAGGGGGATGTGTTGAGAGATGAAGACGATACAGACCGCGAAAGCGATTGGGATCCTCATTCAAGCGAGGACAGTGTTATTCAATCTCGGGTCTGTGGACTCTACAGTGAGAGCTTAAGGCTCGTAGGGGATACCGCTGACAGGTGTTGAGAATGGCCCCCCTACATGCTGAGTCAGTGAGTCGCAGCCACGGAGGTATCATATACACTAAGCACTGTTTCATAGCCGTGAATCTTGGCTCGAGTGATACGCGGGCATGGAAGAAGTTACTAATTCAGGGAGCCTTAGTTGGAGTCCGAGTAGTGCTGGAGTAGCCATGCGGAGTGAAGACTAGTACGAGAGACAGGCATATGGTGGAGCGATATCTTGTTTGGATATTACCACTCATTCCCATAAGTAATCATCAATCGATTAAATTCCGATAGTATCCGTTGGGAACCTGAGATGCTACATCATTACCTATTATGTGTTGCGCTGGTGATATCTGAGACTACGATACACAAGGGTTATAATCGCCAAGATTGAAGTACTTTCCTGCTGATTCCATGATGAGTAGGCCAAATATAGACTACTGCACGGAGAGTGGGACCAGTCCTTCATAGTCATAGACTCAGTAGAGACATGAATTTAATTCTATTCTATTCCTGGCGGTAATTACCCTACAGGTAAATTTTATGTGATACTTCTCTGGGGAAGCAAGGTGAGAGTCTAGTATTCTCATGTGTTCGCTTAGGATGCTTTTTCTGCCTCTTAGCCCGTGTGTTCCTAATTTCAAGATATCAGGGGGTCAAATCGCTATATTATTAACAATCCAAATACCTCCTGCCAATATACCCTCCGTAAACTCCTAGCCTTCTTATAGTACAGCTCCGATGTGATACACAAGATCGTAATGGAAACTTGGACGAAATGGAGGGCCTATTAGTCCAGAGTATCGTGTGTCTCTATTTCCAAAATTTTATCGTTATTAGATGTGACGACTCGTAGCTAGAGACTCATCTGATTTGTAGTTCTACTCCTTGGTGATTTTGGTATTTGTTGTGCTACTTGAGTCTGTGACTATCTAGTGTATTGGTTTCCTCTCTGATCTAAGCTGCGCCTTGTACTATGCCCTTGTCCTCTTTTGATACGAAAATTAGATTTGTGATACAATATCTGTGGCGGATAGCCACTTGGCTCGGTAATTACCCGTTCATCTCTACTCCTTTACTTTGCCAATAAAGCCCTCGCAACGATATCGAGTTAGCTTCGCCGAGGGCATCTTCATAATTTCGGCATCAGCCGTTAATCGATTCTGGGCTATTCTAGCAAGTTGCGGAAATATTTCCTCCATCAAGAACCTGGCGAGTATCTCGCCGTTTTCCGATTCGCGACCAACTTGGGTGACTGGGTACCATAAGCCCTCGAGTGAGTCTCGCCGAAATAGATGTACATAGCCTAGATACCAGCCAAGGCCAAGCTGATGAGGTTCAGTTCTACTCTTTATAAAGATGAACTCACCGAGTGCCCTACACATCGATACTGGAATGTCTGTAGTTACCAAAGGAACCTTGAGATGATTCGAAGGGGCAAATCCATTGTAAATTCCGCCGACTCTTATCAATCCCTCGTAGGCTAGACTGACTATTGCTCGCTCAGTACACAGTCCTCCTCTTATAAGATATAAAATCTGTAGCTTTCTCCATATTCGTGTATTCTGCTTGATGTTATTTAGACAGGTTGTGTGATGTTCGTATGTTCCATTTAATTCACGGTGTGATTTTTTCCTCAGGTTAGTCATATGTCTACTAACTATCTTGACTAATAGCTCTTCATTAAATTTAAATGAGCAATATGCAATGATGTGCATGCCGGACTTAATCTTGGGGGTTTCTGTTCTGTATATTTCTTGGTGCTGCTCGAAGCTTGGAATCTTGCCATTGACTGTTATTCCGTATGTGCCGTAGGAAAAGGGCGATGGGCCAGTGCTTATAAGGCTTACACGATCTGGATATAGACTTTTACTCGACATTATCATAGGTATGGCGAAGATACAGTGCATGGTGGAAATTCTATATTAGACTACTCTGTGCCTCACTAGGACAGCTCGTCCGGTACTGTTCAATCGATCGTCTTCAGGTGTTTCTGTGTTGCTATATCGCAGTTTTGAAAGGTTAGCGAGAGGCTGTGGGTAGAATTTAGTGATTACTAGGAGGCGGACCAGAAGTAATTCAATCCGTAGCTGTATATAGAGACAACGTTATTTTGTGGGATAGCTCTAGTTGAAGACGGCTTCAACAGTAATCATATTTTGACACATAATGAGTCGTGTCAGATAGACGTGACCAGCCACGATATTAAAATGGAACACGAATAATGTAATACCATGCAATCTTATCTCCAGCTTGAGCTTTCGCTCAGTCAATGGTGCAGGTCCATTTGCCGTTTGGAAAATAATTCCCAATAGATTGCTGTGCGTTATTTTAACAGCATCCAACAGGATGAAAATTATCGCCGAACCCCACACGCAAATAACATCATCGATTCATGTAGTAATTGATTAGAGCGACATCCTTGACCTTTTGTCGTGGCGGAAAATTGTCGATAAAGGGAAGAGACAAGGACTAGATAATCATTTCTGGTAATGAGTTACTGTTATGATTATTTTCCATTGTAAGTCTTTGTCAGTTTGGAACATGTAGGTTGCTTCTTTATATAGGCTAATAATACCTGTACTACGAGAAGTATATCGTCTCTTCCACATCCTACACAATTCCCTTCCAGTATTACCACTCGTAACTTTTTAGATTAGTTGACGTCGTTCCGACGCACAACACTAGACTGCAGTGACGCAGATAAGGCTAGTCCTTCTCCGACGACTATATACGATGGTGACTCTGTCTAACGTTTGGACCATTAATGTAGTGGGTGGATTCGCTGATAGCACTCGAGGCCTTTGTGCCAGGGACTCTGAAAATTCCCTCAACCGTGAATATTCACCAAAGGGAAACCGGGAGAAACCTTTGGCTACCCAGACTTTAATTTAGGAAGATGATGACCAGGAGGCGGACCGCAACACCTTCCATCATTTCCTGTTTTTAAAGTGTTGGTACCTGGCAAAGATTAATTCGTCACCTTCCAGCGGTGCCGGTGTCATCGCTCGGTATTCTCTGCATATCTTGGATGGCCAATAGGAGTCGCATTCGGATCGAAGTCGAAAACAAACGAAAAATATCTGTTATCGGCAACTTCTCATCAATAACGATCCCACCATTCTCATATGAGTCCTTTATCTCTTTCATACTGCACACCACCTCACCTTAACGACCGACAAAGGAATTGCTCCATTAGCTTGTGGGAGCTTGCCTCATCAATCACCAGCCATCTACCACTACAAAATCACAATTTATGTATACCCGCAAGCAGGAGAATAAGCTATTAGATGCAGAGCTTTGAATTTGGCTTTTGGGGGACTGTTGCTCTAACCAGGCTCACCAATTGAGGGTGGACAGGCAGTTGGGACGTGGATTGACAAAGGGAAGGAATCACCACTGGACACTATTGGACTTGTGTTTTTTGCCGGATTTTCGACTTTGAAATTTCAGTGAGTGCCAAGACCAAGATTTAGATGATTTAGCCAGGAGAACTTCAATTTTCGATGAGTCTATGGTACTCACTAGCTGTCCAGACAGCAATTACGCTCTGTCAAGGCTCTTCTGACTTTTCTGACATTTCAGCACGACCTTCGGGAAAGAGTTGAAAGGAAGCTAGAAGAGGATAATGTGAATTTCCTTGCGTACCCACAAGTCTGCAGCGCCCAGCTGGCCAGCCTCTTCGAACTATTCAGAAGGGTCAATACGTCTTCGGATTCACTCCTAATGTCGGTATTAGAGGGGCTCCGCACCCAGAGGTTTTTGCGATTTTCCCCGGCTGCCATACACCCACAAATTGCCATCGCTTCGTTGACTGGAGAGGGGAGATAATGAAGGACTAAGGGCTCCTCGAAGTGTATGATCGAATGAGGACTTGTGAGGGGTGGTACTGTTTGAGGGGACCTGTATAGGAGGCAGAGGGGATATACTACTGGCATACTTATACTTGGCTTGTAAGCAGAGAAGACCCGCATGTCCTCCATAGTCATAGACTGGGCAAATACTATAAAATGAATTAAAATCAAAATTTGGTTTGCGAGAATCCCATCTACATACATGAAGGTGGGGTTTTCTGCACACTGGTGTTAACTCCAACATACTTCCACATCTAACCTAAATGGAAAGGTTGGTGGAGATCCTAAAGCTAATGGATCCGGTTAGGCATCTATGGGGCAATTATTATTCATGCCAATGAGTGATGAATGGGGTAATCATATCTCATGGTACAAGTGCATCTTATATGAAGGAAATAATGACCCCTCAGTCATTGAGGTTATAGAGCGCATTGATTCAATTATCTACCGAAGTGAAACTCAGTACAGAATTTTCAGTCACGTGTATATTAGCAACGTGTCCCACTTGATAGCCCCAATTATTTTAAATTCTTACATCTTATTTTAATATGAACTGTTTATCTACTGCAGTTACACAACTGCCTTGATTCCAACAAATATTGGGCCCAGTTTCTGTCTATAGAGGATTTGTATTGTGAGATGATTTCTCCCGTAACTCGTAATATTGTTGGAGATAGGAAGGTGTGGGAGCTGCGCATGCTTCTTTAGCCAGTACGTCTGTAGTTTCGTTCCCAGCTATTTTTACATGTCTCAGACATCATCGCACTCTGACTGCGCCTAGTTTGGAAAAGTGGCTGCGTTCTCTCTCTGTCCACTCGGTTGAAAGCTCTCGGAAGCGAGCGTTATGATAGGAACTGCTTGGGGAGGGAGGATCTATGAGGAGACGAAGGGCCGCTTTGTGATTATCTAGGCATACCGTAATGCTCTTTTTACATCATTTGTCGTATATTCAGCAATCTAACTGTGACATATGATCGGTGCTATGTATAAATGTTGGATGACTCTTTTGACGTTAGAGACACTCATGCTCTAGATTTCATCTGCAAATACCACTATGATGTATGTTTCCCTACACAGATAGTCAAACCTCCTCCGTGAGTACCCACCAGATGGACGTTTCAAAACCTTTGATTATCCACGCATGCCTTCGTTATCCATGTTTACCAACGCCGCGAGAAATGTGGTTCTGTTTTGCCAGACTCAAACCAGCGGTCTCCTGACTCAAGTGGGATATGTGTCCAAGCTATCCATAATCTACTTGGAAGACCGGCCAAGACGACGTATCACCGCACCACCTAGCCGTGACGGTGTCTAAAGTGTCGCTGCACTTGTGGACAAATTTACGGAGCTGTTAAGCTGCTGAGGTCGTGTCGGTTTTCGCGTAAACGAATGTTCAATAATTCCAAGGCTCAAAGGTTGTGAGGGTTAAGAATTAATGACGAAGAGACAAGTAGATTGATCAATGTTCGAATTATCGAAGGATACAGGTTCATGCATCATGCAACAAGATTCAAAGGCTGTAGGCACTGGAGAGCAAATCTAGATATGCCGACGGACATAAACCACGCTCCATTTGCCTACCCCTAGCAATATTAAGAAAATAATCCGTGCACCACCCTATACAGATTATCCGCGACAGATTCACAACGTGAAGACACATATGGGGCCGTTTCGGATCAGATTAGTTGCCGAACCTTATCCCACATTAGTGACAAGGATCACCTGAGCTGTATGATGTGTAGAACAAAGGGTCACAGCCAGAAAGCTCAATAAACTTTGAGTAAAAAATGTGTTAAACACGTTACAACCTCACTGCCCTCGCCCCCTCGTGGATGATCTTTTCACGCGCCCCTGTACTTTTTACGTTCAACTAAAATCTATAGGCTGGTCTGTTTTGCGCCCAAGCCTCGAGTTTATTAACCGCCTGGGTCATGATATGGTGATGGTAAAATAGATGCCTTTTTCCATCCTAAATTCTGATTAGACCAAGTAAAGCAAGGTCGCCACACAATTATCTAAACTAAGCTAAGGCCATATGGCAGCAGTTTGGTTTTTAGATGAACGTGCCAGGCCAATGGCTGCCTCTGCATTGCTATGATAGCCTAAGCACAAATGGGACCGGGCTCGATTAAGTTAACTGCCGTAATGTACAAGTTCCTCGTTCCACCCATTTGACCGGAAGCATGCCGAAACGTCAGTATATGTTGCATCGTGACGAGTCGAGCAGCCCGAGGTAAAACCAAAGGAAAACATCCACGCAAAATACAGCATTAAATGAGATGAAACACAAGCAATTTCTCCATCACCGTCCTATCCCAGCCACCAGACGTGCGAGCCTCCATTCCAATCCCTTTTTCTATGCCAAGCCGATTTCCAGTCAGCTCGATGCTAACATCTACGAGGCTCAATAGACTAGGTCCCTTACAGTCTCGGGCCAGGAAATTTTGGGAGGTGTTGTGTCAGGTATCCTCAAAGATGTCATGAACTACCATGCAGACGTTGACTTATTCTCTTACCAGCGTTTCAAACTGCTACTTCTCAAATCTAGGAGTCGTGAGAACTCTCGGAATCTGATCTTGTCGACAAGAGCCAGATGACTGTCGAGTGCTATGAGGACGGTGCTGGGGATTGCGGCGTATAAATTTAAGAGCTGTTCCAACCTAAATTTTCTTCATCAATCTTTCCAACACTGATTTCCTTTCATTTCATTACCTTCGTTCGACATTCGCTACCTCTCCGAAATCACAGGTTGATTCACACTCTTTACAATCTCCATTTCTTACCACTTTTGATACCGGTTTTATCAACTCTCCAACTTTCCTTCACCTAAATTTCTATCACCAATTTCAGCATGTACTCTCGTGTAATTCTTATTTCAATTCTGGCTGCCATGGCTAGTAGCAGCGTTAGCGCCTCCTTTATTCCTATCGGATCTTCAGGTCTTGCAGCCATCAAGGAAACCCGAGACATCCCGGTCGATGTTACTCATACCCTTAATGATAAGAGAGCCAATGATGACAAAGGCAAGGACAAGGGTAAAGACGGTAATGACCGAATCCTTACTCGCTACATGTTCACTTCTAATTCTTCATAGCAACCAAGCAAAAAGATGCCTCTGCCGCTGAGGCTGATGGTGGTGATGGCGGAGTTTTCGGCAAATGCGAGCCCAAGATGATTTTCCAAGGTGGCTTGGGTAATCGACCTGAGACCGAATTCACATTTCAATCCAGCGACCCGACATGTAGCGATGGTCAAGGAGAGGCCTTAAACCCTAATATTATTACTAAACATATCAAAGATGTGGTGGACAACAAGTGCGGCGCCTCCGAAAAGGGTAAAGCCTTGGTCGCAGCTGCGGTAACTAAGGTCGAGGGCCTGAAAGTCAGAGATCAGAGCGTAGCCGATACATGGAATAAAGCCCTTGGACTTGCGTAAGAGGATAAGAACTTCGACAAGCCCACAACAATCGGTCTTATCAGCCGCGTCTATTTGGATAAACAATATTAACCTCCCCATCGTAAATTTCTGAGCTGGCCGACCCACAGCTTACTATTTGAATATTCAGTAATGCATTGCCGCAGTGCGGGTGGATGACTGTTGCAAAACAGATGAGTGGTTATTTAAAGCTTCGTGTGGTATGGTGGAATCTAGAAATATTTATAATAGATGATTACAATACACTGGTTACCATCTATCACTTGCCTTGAACTAGTAAACTATTGACTCGTTTTCTACCCGCGCCTAATCGTCGAGTCTCTTCTTGTCGTTATTCTTGTCAGGAGGGGTCTAAGTGCTGTTGGTGTTACAATCTGCCAAGAGATCCCAGGTCTGTGCATATTTATGCATGCCTATATTTCATGCAGGTCCAAGGACATGGACTTGAGGGTAACCCATAAATGGGGTATCATAGATTTGTAATTAATTCATTCTATTGTCCTGTCTGAGTCTATGACTATATAGGACATTCAGGTCCTCTCTGCCTGCAGGCCAAGGATACCTATAATAATAGTACATCCCCACATTTGCCTCCTATACAGCTCCCCTCAAACAGGACCACCCCTCACAAGTCCTCATTCGACCATACAATTAGACGAGCCATTTTCCCGTCGTTATCTCCACTCTCCAGCCAACGAAACGATGGCCATTTGCCGTGTCTTATGTTCCCTCGTATTCCTGCTGCTCTTATAGCGATGTTAAGACTGGAACAGTGATCGTTGGCGTATTGTTCCGCCTTGTGAACCGTGTACAGAACCAGTGGCGGATTTGTCCACTACGTTACAGCAAGGACGAATCTCGGCAAGTTTCCACACGTTGACCTGATCTGCGAAGGCTCCTGGTCTCGTTTTCCGGTTCCAGTGGGGACTAGTTCTCGAAGCGGAAGATGGTCGCTGGTTACGCACTCTCTGAGACCAACCCATGCTTGAGCTCCGTTGTTGTTAGTCCAAGCAAGATCCAGCGTGTTCCCGACTCGATGCGTTGGCTTGCCCACAATCAGACAAGTGAGATTGTGGCATTCCGCACATCTCTCGATTTCAATTCCTTGTCCGCGTGGGCGGGTAACCTCTGGTTGGCTCGCGCAGTGCACCGCGTTGAAGTCACCAGCTGCGACAGATCGTGGTGGTGGGTCCCAGCTGAGGAGTGGTCTTATAGCTGTTGGGTTGTTTGGTTCTTTGTATAGGCTGAGAAATGTGACTCCGTTTACCGCAACCCAGCAGTAATCCGCCGTAGGGGGATCGCAGGGAAAGATTTGAGTTGCCAAGTGTATTCTCTTGTTTATTAGTGTATAAGTCACTGCCCTGGGTCGAACGTTTTTGCCGCCATGTGGTGTATGGCAGTCGTAACCTGGGTGTGGCTTTGTTTCCTTTGCGGCTTTTTTCCACGAAGGCTCTTGTATTAGCACCACATCTACACCCAGCTCGTAAGCTCGGGAAAGCACGATGTCGTATGATTGGCCTCCCCTACCTACGTTGATCGACATAAAACTTATCGTAGGTGGGAGGTTTGAAGGGACCCATGATGGGTTCTTCAGGAGGACTCAACAGGATTCGTCGTTCCTGTGGCTGTGGCGTCGAGGGTGACGTCGGTCATCAGAACTTCGAAACTGTTGTTTGATTTCATTGCTCCAGGCGAGGCTTGCGTCTGCTTGGCAGCTGCTTGAGCTATAACCTCAGCACGACGGACAGCGACTTTTGCCCTCACTACTGCCGCTAACTCGCGTTGGCTAGCCATGCGGATGGTGGCCAGTTGCTCTCTACTTACCGGCCCGGACTTGGTGGGGCGCGCCAGGTAAGCTCGACTGTCGGACCTGTGCGGTCCTCCGCAGTTGCGACACTTGTGCGCATGACACTCGTCTGTCGAGTGCATCGTGGAGATGCACTTCCAGCAAACTGGGGCGCGGGAGCAGCCACGCGTTCCGTGGAACTGCAGGCAGCGTTTGCATTGCTGCACAGTCTGTCGCTGTTGATGTCTTACCGCGACGCCCTAGTCGTCGAACAGACTGAACCCTAGTCTTGGTTCCGCTCTCCTATTGAAATGAGCGAGCCATAACTGGTATAGCGCGCCGGGATGATTTTTCCCGTGAGGCCGAACCCTGACTGAAACGGCCATTGCAATTCTAGTGATCTCTTTGACCACCATCTCCTCCGTCACTGGCATCCTTCCATGAAGAGTATGGATGGCAACGGGGACCGTCGAGATCCGGAGCGCCACAAGGTCGGAGGCCTCTTCCAGTTTTCTTTCGATTGAGAGGAAAGATTCTGCCGCGTTCAGTAGGAACTGGTGAGATTCCTGGCTTTTCGCTCGAAGCGCGAAACCAGTTGGAACTCGGTAGACATGTTCCATGGCTACTTTTGACGCATTAGTGAGCTGCGCCACAGCATCTCTGATCCCAGCTGGGGACATCTTTCGCCATTGATGCTTTGAATTCAGCCGGAGGAACAGTCGATTGTCCGGTGTGGACGAAGGGGCCGACTTGTCCGATTTCTTGGCCGGCGGGGTCAGCTTTTGTGGAGCACGGCTAACCATCACTGGCGCCGGCTGATTAGGTAGTCTTTTCCCGACTACAGTTGCCAAGGTTAAAGTTACCTGGGGCACTGCGACGACAGGTCTTGCTGACCTGCAGGCCTACGGGGCTGGGGGGGGAGACTTTTCGACACTGGTGTAGTTCCAGCGCGTAGGAAATGGGCGAGGGCGCCCCTTAGACATGCGTTCATCTAGACCAAGTATTCCTTGATATCCGTCGTTTTAAGTGACAGTATAACGCTTTCCAATGTGTTTATGATCGTTGAGCCCATTTTGAGCCTGGCGGAGGCATTTGAAGCCCGCTTTCTTTCGTCTTCCAACAAAGCTTCGATTTCTGGCGGGTATTGTTGTGCCGCACTGGTGGGAGCACCACCAGTAGATTAGTGGGAGAACACAGCCATCCCGGGAGTCGAGGCCGGGGCTGGCGGGAGTTGTGAGGCATTTGCTGCCTTTGCGTTATTAGGGTCTTCCGTTCCCCTCGGTATGCTCGTGGTTGGTGTCCACTTTGCTATCGGGGCCACAACGCGTACAGATTCTGGCGTAGCTCTCGCCGAGACTACTTTCTCGACGTCAATCGTTGGTGCAGTGGACGCCTTCTGGGAGCTCTCCGCTCCTGCACTTGCCCAACACGAGTCAATTGGGCCCTTTTTGATCATAGCCTCAATTGTGGCATCGGCATCCAACAACTCAATGTCAGTTTTGCCGCGCTCTTCCATCTGCGCGACTATGTCGGCTTCCATCATGTTGAGATCGATGGCGCTCGGCGCCATTCCTCTTTCCTTCATCCTATTGTTCGCCGGATTTCTGGCAATTTGCTGCAATTTTCTCTGCATCTCTTGACGCGTCTGGTGGTGGTATTTCTCTACATAAGTGGTTAACACAATTTTCGCGGGTTTCGCGGATTTTGGGGGTACCGGTGCCATTTTAAGGCTGAGTGGCACGATACCACGAGAGACTGATGTGTAGGTATTCGAGACGTGAGTTTACGGGGTGAAACGGGCTGATAGGGCAAATTTTCATCAAATTCTCTCAAAAATTGTGCGATTGTATTGATTTACTTGTTAGGCACCAGCCCAGTGGCTTATGGCACGGGACTGGTGGGCTCGGTAAGGATTATCCTAAATAGCTATGCCCTACTTGTTCCCACCACACTGTCACTATGTGTCTCTGATTACAAAAAACCAAAAACCAAAAGAAATAACAAACAAAACCAACTGAAACAAAGCAAATTAACATGTAGGAGCAGTGCTAGTATCTCTCATCCTATGCCCCCTAAGTCATTTCTCTCGTCCTGACAAAATAATCACTCCAGCCCTCGCATCCAGCTGAGGGCGGGTTTACATCTATGCACCCAAAGCAGCGGGTAATCCTTGCAAATTCTGTGAACTTCTCGAGACCTTCCGGTCCAAGGAGTTGGTTGGTATAGTCCTCCACAGTCATGGATCTTCTCAACCTGCGCATTATAGCAGCATTCTTCTGGCATCGGACAAAATGAGTTGGCGTTGTCCTTTGTCCATAGACGCATTCTAGTTTCGCGTCTTCGTGGTTCAGGCGGCGATGATAGTCCGCAAAGTCTCCATATCCTGATCTTGCTGCTAGGAGCTTATAGAGTAATTGTCGAGAAAGACCTAGTTCTGGTGGTTTCCGATGTCTCATCTGTAAGTCCAGGTCTGGATATCTGTCCGGACCCGACTTATTCCACCAGTCTTCCACCAGTTTCTGTCGGCGATCGTGTATCATACGGCGTATGTATGCCTGCGTTGTCTGCACTGACTGCTTCTGTCTATTTGGCAGCAGCTGAAGACCGGCTCGGGCTTCTGCGTCCGCTTCTTCGTTGCTACTAATATTGGAGAGTCTAGGCACCCACCTCACTGTCGCGTTCGCTTCTGAAGCGAACTTGTGAAAGACGCGGGTTAACTGCAGCGACGATGATGACTTCCACGTCCAAAGCCCAAGTACAGCTGCCTGATTGTCAAGAAGAACGAAGATTCTCTCACGGTTCTTTCGAGCGCGCATAGCTTCCCGAAGTGCTACTGCTGCTCCTGTGATTTCTGCATCATAAACTTCACCGCCATGTAGACGACCGTGACCCTGTGCGAATGTTTGTCCTCCACGTTGGAGGACATATCCCCACTAGGATCGTCCGTGGCCTTCAGATTGTGCGTCTTGAATACCAATTATTGAAAGGCTGAGGGCGATGGATAGGGAGACGTCACCTTGTGAATAGAATACTGATAGGTATGGGAGAATTCAGTAGATCACTTGGACAGAGTAAGATGATTGATTGATGGTGAATTGTATTTGTATTTGTGGATGATGGATATAGATACTGAGAGTAAAAAGGCCCTATCTATATACAGGAGTTCCTACCCTTATTCCTCTACATATTATTGTCTATGATAGCTAGAGTGACT